AGGAAGACCCCCTAGAGAGGCTCCTCGTTTCCCAGAAAAAGGTTGGCCACAGCAAACCAGTCTGAATATGTGTGTGTGCAGTGGGAACACTCCTGCATGCGTAAGCGCTGCGTGAGGCTAGGTGTGCCTGACTCAAGTCTCTAGCATTACAGAGACTCTGACGGTGAGGTCCCAGGCTCACAACCTATGGGTCCAGGCCAGAAAAAGTAATAAGTAAAATAAAGAGTATGCATAATCGAGTCTGGTTGGATATCAATTGCTGCCATGACAAACTATGCCCCATCTTAAGAAGCTGCAACAGCCCCAGTGATTGATGATGGCTCATTTCGTGAGTTGACTGACTCAAATGGTACCTAGCCCTAGAACATTCCAGAATGTTACTTCACAACTCAGTTATCAAGCAAGCACTAAAGTCAGCCCAGATTCAGTGTCTTTGTTTCCTATTACACATCTTGCCACCTGTCTTTTTCTCTTTTTGAGACGAGTCTCGCTCTGCGCCAAGCGAGTGCAGTGCGCAATCTCAGCAGCAAACTCCGCACTCACTGCGGTTCACGCCATTCTCCTGCCTCACCTCCCAAGTAGCCTGGGACTACAGGCACCGCCCGCCACCACGCCCGGCTAATTGTTTTGTATTTTTAGTAGAGACAGGATTTCACTGTGTTGGCCAGGATGGTCTTGATCTCCTGACCTTGTGATCCACCCACCTCGGCCTCCCAAAGTGCTGGGATTACAGGGGTGAGCCACCACGCCCAGCCATACCTGGTCTTCTTACTTTTATCTGCCCTATTGAATTCAAACACCAATTCAGTTTCTGTCTCTCTTTTTCTCTCTCTCTTTTTCCTCCTCCACAAACTTGCCCTTACCCACCAGGGAAAATGGCGTCAGCTTCTAGGACTCTCTATTGCTCAGCCTACTGTTTTGTGAGCACTGTACTGGGAGTAAGAGGATGTGGGCCTGTAACCTGGTGACCTCTGAGCAAGACACCTTGCCTCTGTTTCCTCCCCGTGAGCCCACTTTGCCTCTGTTTCCTGCCTGTCACTGAGGGGCAGCTGGTCACATCACAACGGAGCATATGGAGTGAAAGGCATCTTTGGACAGACAGTCCACTATAGTGCCTTAAATTGTACTCTTTCCAAAAGAACCCACTTTGCTTTGCATATTAATTGCATAGATACAGCCTTTAAAATCATAACTATACTCTCTCCATTTTATTTCAAAATATGCAACCTTTCCAGGTCCATATTTTTATTTTCCTGTTTTTGATAGAGACATAGTACAATAAATATTCCACTTTCCTTTTTACACATCTATGAGAAAAGTGACAAAGCAAACGTGATGACAAATGGCAACTGACGTACAGGGAGGTTCCGGGGCACACTAGGGACTGCGGTGCAGTGGAGTGTGTGTGCCCGTCTAACAGAGGCGGCTGCCTCTTGCTGCAGCTGATTATTGTCACGTGAGAAAGACTGTTGATTATATGGCCTACAATTTACTTTAAAACACTTCAGCATATTCAGTGTGATACATATGTGGATATAATTTAATTTTAATCTACTCCCTAGATGCAGTTAACATTTGAAGTACTCTTCAAATTAGAAATCCATACTCCAGGGATGGTTAGTTATCATTTGAAAGACCCTAATCAGAAGTCTGCATTCCAGATGCAAACGCTTCAAACATTGCTATCTGAATCTGCCATAAATGGTTCATCAATAATCCTAAGAAGGGAGGCTATACTTCTGGTGCCTCTGGTTAACACCTGCCATGCACAGTAGGTGTACCCACCCTGTCTTCAGGTGAGTGCTGCCACTTAATCACTGCAACTCCAGGCTCCCATCAGCCCCACTGAAATCAGGAGACCATTGGAATGGCCAAATCTTCTACAGTCAAACCTGGCCTACCACAGAGAGCAACCACAGAGTTTCCACAAATTCAGGTTGTATTAGTCCATTTTCACACTGCTGATAAAGACATACCCAAGACTGGGTAATTTACAAAGAAAAAGAGGTTAAATGGACTCATAGTTCCATGTGGCTGGGGAGACCTCACAATCATGGTGGAAGGTGAAAGGCACGTCTTACATGGCAGCAGACAAGAGAGAAATGAGAATC